GCATGTATCTATTATACATGACTGTTGTCCAGTGAAATGGTCCTTAGAAATGATCTTTCAGTTTCTAGTCAGTATCACTATCAGGTCATAAAGACATAAAGAGAACACTTAATGTAGTTCTAATTTACCAAAGCTTAAGCTATTCTACAAAACTGCTGTGCATATTGTACATGTATACATGTATTGTATGTAGTTGTATATAGAGTTGGTCACCTCATGCGATTGTCTACAACTTAAAACCTCACACACCACTTTAGTTTGTCCCCCGAAATGGACCGTTCTCATCTAAACTTCACTTCACATGACCCCTACACGACTCGGGGTCAGGCGAGAGGTAAATTATTGTCGCGGTATGTCAGCCTGTACGACAGACAGCGCCCGAGGCATAGGTGACATAGTTGAGCGCGCCCTGTTTGTTTTATCTTGTCACCCTTAATGACTGTTTAATAGGTGGGGGGCTCTTCTTCACGGGTACGATCAGGGAGAGGTCAGGAGCCGACTGTCACCTTTTGACCTGGGCGGCCATTCCCGGAAACGAAAGTTACATAATACCTATAAAACTAGAAAGGTAACATTTGCAACGCGAATGCATAATGTTTACCTTCGCATATGGTCTGCTCTGTTCATTCTTACTCAAACATATATATATATGGTGACGGGAGTCTAAATCCCTCCTGCTATAAAATTGCAACATGATGTAACCGATCACTGGTTACCATGGTGAGAGACGTCTGGTTTAGGTCATTGACCTTTTTAGTTTGGAGAAGAGGAAGAAACTTTGAGCAAAAACAATTTTCCCTTCGGTAAACATAACTAGAGTTCCACGATCTCGTACCTCCGCCAAGAGATGTTATAACCTTTATGACTGGCGTATGCAAATAAGCTCCTCATTTGCATAGATCATTTCAGCTGATGATCTTCTCTACCCAAATAGCCCAAGTTGTCCAAAGTATGAATTTCAGTCTTTTCAAAGAAGGCTATCGTATAATTTTCTCATCTATTATGCAAATGAGCCTTGATTTGCATGATATATGTTTAATGATGGTCTCCCTTACTAATAACTTCCAAATGCTGCAAATATATATGAAATTCATGTCCTTTACCACTGTGGTAATATAGCATTTTCTCACTAAACATACAAATGAGGTCTTCATTTGCATAATCATATCTTTGATATCTTTCGCAAGTAGCACTGTTGTGAAGAATGGAGCATGCACTGTTAGGTTGTCTTCTACCAAACAATATCGACTACCTCTACTCATACAAATCAATCACTGTGCAGGTTGCTAGCACTTGTTTTATTTCCAAAGCATGTGAGTGATGAAGTTTGAAAGATACATGTACTTAAACCCTTGCCAATGCTAAGCATTTAGGTTCATATATGATGACTAAATATATGAAAACTAAATATATAGTGCAGCATATAACCACACAGTCTTGATACCTTGAACATTTTAACATGCTGTCTATATACTACTTCCAATCTTGAAACACTGGTCATTTTGGAACTGGAAGTCTTTTTTTTTCTTCTAAACTTTCAAAGGCAACATGTGGCTGGAAGCCCCAAATTTGTAACTTTTGAAAGAGCATGTTACATTCATAAAGGTATTACATGTAGTTAATTGTGTCTTTCCACATTCTAAAAGACTTGTGTTTCAAAGATCACATGATGCGGTGGACTTACTCAATGATATAGAAAAATCTATGCTATGTTGCATGTTATAATAAGGTCAGGGAATTTTAAGTTGACTACATTTCAATCCTTTCGTTACATGATTGGTAATGGCAAAAACTCTTAACTTTAAGACTTATTCATATGGAAATGTCATAAATAAAATTTTGCATAATTTTCAATAAAGATTTTTTTAAAACAAGAAAATAATATGGGTCCCCCTAGAATATTCCTTTGAATATCTTTTATAAAAAAAACTTAAGTTCTCGAAAATATACAAATAATATATTAACTTCTTATATATAAACTTAATAACATAGAAGGATGCTAGACTATAAACCTGTTTCTTATTTTCTGCAAGAAGTATATAAAAAGTATTCTTGTAAATATAATAAACACTTAACACATTATTGCTTGCAATAAACCAGCCAGTATGCAAACTTAATGTTATCTCAATAAAAGTAGCACTACTAAAATGAGTTGTGTTTGTCCTGAAATGCTCTACCAGTATACCTTATCCAACTTCAATGTTTCTTGACTGATATTTGAGCTTACTGCTCAGATAGTCTGACTAACAAATATTGACCTAAAATGACTATAAGATAGTTCTATAGCTTGTTCACATTCGTTGTAAGATAATTACAACTGTGCAGCAAATTGGGGCCATTCTTATGGGGTTCTGGGTGTGTTGTACAAAATTCTTCTAGCTTGCGACAAAAAATGTTGCCAAGTACATGTACATGCACATTTTGTTCAAGAATCATACAACGAATGTGATCTTCAGCTAGACAATCTAGAAAAGTTGTACTCTTTTATACATGACAAAGGTGGTGCTGTTTTATACATGGATTAGAAATATCATATAGCCATTTCTGAAGGAATGCATTCAAACACATAGATTTTCCAAGCATTAGTTATAATCTTCTTAGCAACTTGAAAACTCTTTTAAATTATGCATTAGCTTATAACACAATTCAAAAGCTAATCACAAGCAGAATCTCTTAAACTGGTCATGGAAAAGAAGTACACAATTCAGCATCATACGTTCCATTCAATGTGAAATGTGTACAGTAAAGTTGATACTAGTAATTTGGACTTGAATGTTCGCAGTCCAGCTGGAAGTATATACTCTGACATGTCCAAATATATCTTAAGAATGGTAGTCATATCTTCTCTGATGTTAAAGATATTTGGTACATTTGGTTCTAGTACTCTTGAACTTCTAGTATAATATTGGTATCAAAATATGTACCATATAGTAGTTTTTTTGTTGCAACACTGGACGGAGAGTACATACATCTTCCACTTTTAGTTTCAATTCTGCAACAAACTGTACACAAGAAAATTGATGCCCAAAATCAAGCTAAATGTATGCAAAACATGAATGATTTTAATATGCAACACCATGATTTTTCTTTAGACATTACTGCGCAATTTCTTCTTGGCCATGTACAAGCATGGCTTACAAATCATATCTTTTAAGCTTTAATTTCAAGTGCAATTAATTTCTAGATATAACAAATTACCTGTAGTTTTTACAGGTAGATCTTAAGCTAACTGCTGCATTGTGCAATCATTCCTGGACAGGCACAGGTAGATAGTGACTCTTACTTAGATTTTACGTGCTTTAGGTTCATCCTTAAACTTTTACCATTCCATTCACTACATTGAGTGCAGACAACAGTGCAGTAAGCCAGGTTCTTCCACTGCTAAATTACTACTCTTATCTCTATCGTCTAGGCTAAAAGAAATACTTTTTCCGCTGTTTAGTAATACCCACATTTTTCTTGGGTAGTTTTAGTTTTCAGACACGCATTTGGCTAGAAAGCTATCCACACGCACGAAAACATACACCAGTACACAGAAATGCAACCTCCTTCCTGATGATACTACAAGTACTGGACAACTTGGTCAGTCTAATGTATTATCTAACTCACACACGTGCACACACACACATGCACAGAGGCTTACACTAGGTCCCTTTGAAAGACTACTGTTGGTAAGGTCTTGGGGTTGAGGGTTTTCGTGTTATTAAGTATAAATGCAGTGCCTGGCTTTTTTCTGTGATCCTCAAGTCAACAGCATTTTACATTTCTTTTAAAAAGCAGCTATCGCCTGATTTAGCAACAATTCATTCTTCACTTGGGTACAATTCACATCTCTAATTATGAGTGCAGCAACAAACGTACATTGTAGAAATCTCAGTCAATCTTACCAGTAGTTATACACGATTATTTGCTAATTTTTACTCAGTGCTAGTCTTTTTATTAATACCTGACTATTATCATCAACCAAAGGCGGAAGAACTGCACAACTATCCCAACCCCCTCTCCTAGGTTTGGTCATCCTATTGCTGAGTTTTAATTTCAATTTTAATACACTGCATAAACCTCCTTTTTCTTATACTGTGAAATATAACCACCAAAGCATTTGCAGTGCCCAGGGCTTGAAATAGTTTTTTTCTGCATGCAGGTAATTTTCCGCTGGTGCAGGTAACACTGAAAATTACCTGCACCAGAAAAATTTTACCTGCATCGCCGACTCAGAATTTATGAAGTATGGGTCACACTAGAAACTACTAGTTTCAAGAAACCAGTGTTCATAAACCCAGGACATGGGCCAATGCAGGTTAGGTGCAGGTGGACATCAGAAATACCTGCACAGCTCCAATTTTACCTGCACTAACCTGCATATACCCAATACATGGACCAGTGCAGGTTTAGGTGCAGGTAGACATCAGAAATACCTGCACAGCTCCAGTTTTACCAGCACTAACCTTAGCATACTTCCAGCCCTGGTACCTGAATAAGTTTTACAACTCTACACGCGATTCTCTAGCCAGCGTTACGAGGGGGAATGTAGTGATTAGGACCCGTACAGCCGTGCGATGTCCTGACTGTAGTGGGACTGCAGGTTCTTCCGCTTGAGTTTGAAGGCGTCGGTGACCAGCCCGGTGTCTGGAGTCCAGTTCTCGCTGCACAGGCGAACCTTCTGAGGAATCTCAAACCTCTCCAGTTTAGCTAAAGCAAAATATATAGAAACATATCTCAGTCATACTGCGTAATTTGTGATACAAGCATTTGCCTTTGGATTTTCTTGTCTCATGGAAAAGGTACAAATGCCAGCCATACATTTGTAAGATCTGCTGTTAATACAGTACAAAATTCACTTCCCTTCCCATGCGTTTTACACAAGGTCTTAACTCATTTCTTGGGCAAATCACAGTTAAAATTGCTTTTAAGCACATTTTCAAAGGAATGCATGGCTTTTAATAACATTTTGCAGAACTCTTGATCACGATTTGCACACATATGAATGGGAAGTTATTCGAGATCTGAACAGTGCCAATACTAATATAGAGAAGCACAAGTTTGTATGCTGACCTTCCTTTGCGACTTTGTGTAAGACCTTCAGCACCTCCTTCTCCAGATCAGGGTTGTTACACAGCTCCTCCCACTGGTCAGACTTCAGCTCCATCTTATCAGACAGGTTCTGAGCAGAAAACACACAAAATATCTTTAACAGAAAAGCTTATCATACACCTAGCAAGGAATTGGAAATCTCAGTCTCCTGGGTATATTTTGTTGTTTTTTTATTTTTTGTTTCAAGATCTTTAAGTTCACAGACCTCTGGTGTTTTTTTTTTTGTGAATGCATTGGAACTGTGTAGAGGATTGTATGATTGAATAAAATCGGGTATTACACCACTTCCTGAATTCCTCCACATACTGCCTACTTACTCTACGTGGCACATACTGGATCACCTTCAATCTGTGACCCCTATCAATCAACGGCCAAAGTCATCTCCCACCCACCATGCAACTGAAGGACAAACTGAGACACAGACCCACAACTCAGCCACCCAAACCAATACAGAATGAAAATTGCATAGTGCTTCCTTCACCCCTATACTTTCAACATGGAATATTCCCTTCATCTACTTCACATTATGGAGGAAACCAAAATCCCAAGAAATAGGGGTGAGTCCCCACCTTGAGATGTTTGTGGTTAGGCACCACCAGTGCGATGGCGTAGTGTTGGTCACTGCTGGCATACACACAGATGTTGTCCACCAGAGAGTTGTTCTTCAGCGCGGCCTCCACCTTTCCCAACGACACATACTCACCAGCCTGAAGTTTCACTAGGTCCTTCTTACGATCTGTGAAAAGTAACCAATATTGTATTAAAGACGTTAAGCATTAGTATGGGACAAGCCAACCACTTGTCTATAACGACAGTGACTGACACGAATTGGAACCACAAACAGGCCAATTCCTGCCCTTGACAATTGTATCATTTTCATGAGTGTGGCAACATCAACTTTTTATGAAAAGTAACAAAAATCATAGCAAAATCGTCTCTTTTCAGCTGGGTTTTCAGCCAATCGGGACATTAATCACATGTAATATTACGTCTGAAATCCTTCATATTTTAATAATAACAGGTCTATGTTGACAAACTCTGCAAGACATATAGGGAAACAGCAAGAGTTTTTATGTTACAAAGACTACTAGAAAAGAGCACATCGGCAGAATGTACTGCACCTATGCAAATCCCGTAATGTATTGTGAATAGCACTTCGGCAGAACGTCTCATATAAGGTCGTATTTGCGTATTTAAGGTTAACATCCCGTCAGGTGCAGTACGTTCTGCCAACATGTTCTGGAAAAGTATTCCAACAGAAACCCACCGATGATCTTGAGGCATCCGTCGGGGTGGAACTCTCCGATGTCGCCAGTGTAGAACCAGCGGTTTCCGCCCTCCTCGCGGAAGTCCTCGGCCGTCTGTGTCGGGTTCTTGTAGTACCCCAGGGTGATGTTGGGCCCGCCCACCACGATCTCACCCCGCGGGTACGGCTTGTCTCCAGTCGTGTAACCACCTGGACACACACCAGGGAGAGAAGACTTCTTTCAACTTCTGTCTTTCAACTTCTGTCTTTCAACTTCTGTCTTTCAACTTCTGTCTTTCAACTTCTGTCTTTCAACTTCTGTCTTTCAACTTCTGTCTTTCAACTTCTGTCTTTCAACTTCTGTATATCATACCTCTGACCTTTCCAGCAACAAGGGTACATACATTTTGTATGTCATGGGGACACCTGGTGACACACCAGAAAACTGCACTTGTTGATAACTCAAGTACTGCAAATCACTTCACAGGGATACATCTAGCGAGATATTAGACGTTAAACGAGGACAACAACAACAACATTAATGTTTTAGTACCTTCGTCCCAGTCTACCAGTTTGATCTCATTGCAGATGAGTGGTGCTCCCACTCTACCCGTAGTGAGGTCATCAACTGTAGACAAACAAACAAACAAACATTGGAGTTTAAAAAATGTTATCTAAATTGTGATGAAAGATAGTCTATCATAGAGCATACTGTAACATGCAATCATTGGCTATTTTCAACAGCCTTAACAGCTATATATGTTGATAACCTAGTTGAGGTGAATTGAGTCAATTTGAGCCAAGCTTCTATGAGAGAATATGTTATGATGCTATCAAAAAATTAGATGATATAAAACTACCCCTTAAAGTACCGGTAAGCCAAAACATGTTTTTTCTTTACTCATTAACACATATCTATTGCCTCCATATCTGACCTCTATGAAAAGGAAGGTTAAGACTAAGCTAAGATGTGACAAATCTAAATCAAACTCCTACCTTCAGTAACAGTTCCCGCCCCACAGGTCTCTGTCAGCCCGTACCCCTGCAGGACGGGGCAGCAGAAACACACGTTCATGAACCGCTGGGTGGTCGCCGAGAGGGGCGCCCCGCCCGACAACATCATCCTGATCCGCCCTCCGAGGATGGACCTCACCGGTTTGAAAATGGACCTGAGAAAAATGACACAGAAACAAAAAAAAGCACAAAGTTTACAAAAGGTATGATTTAGTATATTTCACCCCATCCGGAATCCATTCATGCAGAGATGGAGTGAAATATACTGGATTTGCTTGCTAGTGTGGACTTTCAAATCTTATATTTCCTGAAAAATTCAGTATAATATACCATTTTGTTTCTGCAATTAGCATCATAGTCACACACAATTAGGAACTACTTTTGTAGTGGGAGTACTGTAACAGTACCTGTTAAGCAGTGGTGTGTCCGACCCATTCTCCACCAGTTTGAGTTTGTATCCATACGCCACATTGAACATGGCCTTTTTCCACTTGCCTCCTTCGTTCACCTTGTCCATGACTGTCTTGTAGATCCGATCCATGATGACCTACATGAACATTGAACATATCAAGATGAGATAGAAACATACATTTTTTTCTTCACAGTGACGTTATAAACATCCCGAAATTTAAGGTGGCATTTCCATATGTATGAGATTTCAGACTTTCAGAAACTTTTTGGCTTGGTCAATTTGCCTGTCAATTTTCCTGGGGCCCCCAACCATGTGATGTCAATCTACTCTGTCTGCACATGCAAACAGATACACAAACCACCCAAGACAATACTCCTGTACCCAAAAGATGAATTTAGCTGCCATATGAACTTATACATTACTTACCGGTACAGCAGCCATAAGTGTTGGCCTGAGCACACTGGCATCACCCTTGCTGCCCCGCTTGATCTTGCTTGACTGTGGGGGTAAAGTAACAGTTAACTCACCATGCAGCCACTCTCTTATTGGTTGAACTGCTAATTTGACTATGATATAGACAGCCAGGATTGGTCTATTTCACAACAGCCCCTAACTTGCTTGATCTTTCTAGACCAAGGAGCTTAAAAATCAAGAGCTCCTTGGCTACTGTGGTGATAAAATCACAATTAGCTTATCATGCAGCCACTCTCTCATTGGTTGAACTGCTAATTTGATTACGATATGGACAGCCAGGATTGGTCTATTTCACAACAACCTCTAACTTGCTTGATCTTGCTGGACTGTGGGGGTAAAACTAACAATAAGCTCATCATGCAACCACTCCCTCATTGGTTGAGCTGCTAATTTGATTATGATATGGCCAGCCAGGATTGGTCTATTCTACAACAGCCGTACCTGGTCTGACAGTGTGAGAGGTGAGGAGTAGCCGATGGGGGTTCCAAACGCCAGACAGGAGATCTCAGCACTCAGCTCCAGTACATGGGCCAGGGGCAGGTAGCCGATGTAGGTGTCCTTTGGTCTGGAGCAGAACAACAAAACCTGAAATTGTATTCTCTATTCTTTCAAGTACAGGATGAATTATGTACAGTTTAAAGGCAATGCTACTTGAAAATCTTAGTTTTCTGAAACTTTAAGAAGAAAATGATGTTTAGTTTGTATGCACGTCCTAAGAATTTGAAGTCTCCAACAAAGCTGCAGTATCTTAATAGTCCACAAGGGGTCACCACAACACTTCAAATAAAGTTCTCTGCCTTTCCCGAAATTCCTTATGATATTTGAAGTCTAAAACAGTTTAACAACAGTTTAATAGTCCACAAGGAGTCTCTATAATACACTTCAAAGAACGTTCATCTAATCCAATCCAACAATCCTGTCACACTGCCACATCATGACACTTTGTCAAAAGCAGAACTGCAGTTCCTTAATACTACACAAGGGGTCTCTGCAACACACTACAAAGAAGATACTGTACCAGTACATCATGTACAGTAAACATAATCCTGTCACACTGCCCCGCCATGCCCCCGATCAGGTTCCTGTGCGCTATCATGACACTTACAGAACTGCAGTTCTCTAATACTCCACAAGGGGTCACTGTGATACACTACAAAGAAGGTACCAGTACATCATGTACAGTAAACATACCCCAGTCCAGGGATCCTGTCACACTGCCCGGCCATGCCCCCGATCAGGTTCCTGTGTGCTATCATGACACCTTTAGGCAGTCCTGTGGACCCGCTGGTGTACATGATGACAGCCAAGTCGTCTGGTACGGGCGGCTGGATTGGGCGGTTTGCTGCACAACAGCACAGGAAAATGTCATTGTTACATTAGATGCTGTTGATGGTGGAAGTGTAATAGTGGGGGGTTTATATACGCTACCAACTGATCCGTCTGACAGGCCTAGACCTTTTATTCGAATGGTTAGAGTGTCGGGGTTATGAGCTGGCATCCGGGTTTGGCTTGGGTTCGATCCCAGGCCTGGGGCCAGGATCGGAGTGTCTTTTTGTTTCTACTCTCCTAATTCATACAGAAGTGAAAAAAAGCCCTGGTGATGGAAAGTCTTAAAATTAGTCACCTGAGTGGTCTTCTTGGACAGGTTTCACTGCATTTAACAATACAAAATCTTCTTTTGTACAGCACTGTAAAATTGTCCCTTCAGTAACACATTGCAAACTTGCATCAGGCTTATTCCTTTTTTCCCTATTTCTAAATTTGACATAGTCCAAATTGCCCAATCAGCCAGCTCTTCAGGCCGACCGCCTGGCCACCTTAATAAGCACGTTTTCCGTTGTCCAGCTGTCCAAGAAGACCACTTTGCCTTGGTCCCCTGGGTGGCCTTCTTAGGCAGATTGACTGTATTTCACAAGAAAATTCTTCTAAGCTTGTTTTGAATGGCCTTTGTGAAATTGTAAGAGTTACCATTTTCTGCCTTGGAGCCCATCTCTTCCACCTGAGCCATAGAGAGGAGCTGTATACCGGCAGGGAAACCGTCAGTTGCAGCTGGCTTGCCGTTCAATGCCTCCATGTATATGATGTATTGCACTTTGGGGATTTTACCTGCAACATTCTGAAAAAAATCATATATTATATTACCATAAAAGATTACCAAAATAAAATTGTATACATGTCGAGCAACTTCTATTCTTCAAAAACGTTATATCTTTTTTGTACAGTATTATTTAGAAAATGTATCCCTTTCAACTTCTTAAAGTACACCTTTCATAATAGTGTTTCAATAAAGTTTGAACTCTAGATCTATAATAGTTTTTGAAGTAAAATTGAGGATTAGGCAAATTGTACTTACCATGAAGGATAATCCCAATTATACCTCACACGAACTATTTGGGTATATCGTTTACCTTATGCAGTATTTCCTATGCTTATCGCTAGGTGGCGCACGTGTACAAAGCTTTAATCGCAAAGCATCACGGGATATCATGACGTAATGACTATGTTCGCCGCCATTTGACGACGTGCGAGAAAGAGTCTGTGCTGTTCACCATGGGTGGGCATTCTCAGCTACTTGGAAGCTGAAGAACAGCAAGGGTGGGAAGATATACCCAAATAGTTCGTGTGAGGTATAATTGGGATTATCCTTCATGGTAAGTACAATTTGCCTAATCCTCAATTATACCTGCACACTCCCTATTTGGGTATATCGTTTACCTTATGCAGGCTTCAGAGCCGTGGACAGCACAGCCTGGCCAAACGTGTGTTGGTTGTTGTCCCTCCTGTAGCACTTCAGGAAGGTAGACTCTCGTGACCAGTCCGCTGCCTTCATGATGCTATGTAGAGACACCCCGGCAGCTGCAGCAGCTGAAGTGGACGCTCCTCGAGTGGAGTGAGCTGAGAAAGTTGCTGTGTCGACACCTGCCGTGCCTAACACTGACTTAACCCACCTGGCCAGGGTCGCAGACCAACTAGGCCTGTGTGGTCTGCTGAACGATATGAACAACTTCTGNTCCCCCCCCCTCTTTCCGAAGGGAAGAAGTCCGCCTTAGATATTCTTTCAGGTATGTGAAGGCACACAAGCGCCTGTCCTGCGGGAAGGCCGCCCAAAAACACTTTCTGGCAGGTTTTGCCTGGTGTAGAAGTTTCAGCAGGGTAGGAATTGTCCAAGAAACACCGTTTCTACATTTTTTTTTTTTCATGAATCTCAAGTCAAGAGCCGCTAAAGTCTGACCTCTGTCGGCTGACACCAATGCCGCTAGTGTTACCAACTTATGAACCAGCTGTTTCAAACTAAGACTATTAGCTTGGCAACAATGCAGAAGGTACTCTAGGACCCGACTGACGTCCCATGTTGAAACATATTTTGGACAAGGAGGACGTTTGTGAAACAGACCTCTCATCAGTTTGGACACTAGAGGGTGACTACCCACATTACAATGGTCTACTGGTAAGTGTACAGACGAGATCGCAGAACGAGCCACCCCAATTGACATACAATGTATAGCAGTAGTTCTGTCGGAACATCCATTCAAGATATTCTACTACGCTCTCTATAGAGCCGCAAACTGGATCAATCTTCCTTCTATCACACCAGCTGGCCCACTGAGCCCATGCTGACTGATACTGTCTAGAAGTGCTTTCTCTCCAAGCCGAGAGGATGAGGTCTGAAGCCCCTGCCGAAAGGCCACGACCCTGCAACTGTCGCCTGATCTTGGCCACGCGGCAAGCATCAGATCTGGCAACAGCGGATGGGGTCTCCTGTTGTGCGGCAGGAACAGCAGATCCCAGCTCTGTGGCAGGAGAACCGGACTCTCGAACAACATGTTCAACACCTTGGCGTACCAAGCCTGAGACTCCCAAACTGGAGGTATCAAAATCACTATTGCTACGTCTGACTGGACTTTCCTCAGTACCTTGAACACTAGGCTGAAGCGGGGAAAGGCATGCGCTAGCCCCAGGTTGCCTCAGTGAATGTTTAGGCCATCCACCGACATGGCCTCTGGTTCTGGGCGCCAAGAGACATACTCCTTCAGCTGAGCGTTCATACGAGACGCAAACAGATCTACTGTCAATGCATTGCCTGTCCAATTGTTCAATGACAGGAAAAACTGAGCGGTTCAGTTGTCACTCTACCTTGTCCAGAAAAAACCCGCGAACACCTGTCCGCTAGGGTGTTTGTCAATCCGGGAACGTGAGTTGCAGACAACGTCAGGCCTCTTTCCAGGGCCCACGACCACATCTCCAGGGCCAAGGCTGCCAAATCTGGCGACCTTGTTCCCCCCACGTGATTCACATATGCAACGGCTGTTGCGTTGTCCAGCCTTAGCAGATCATGCTGAGTATCTGCGCTCACAAAGCTTCTTAGCGCCAGGGAGGCCGCTTTCAATTCTAGTCAGTTGGTCACAGTGCATGCGCGCTTCTGTTTGCGACCAGCGCCCGCCTGTCTCCTGACCATAACAATGCGCGCCCCATCCTTCCAGTGAGGCATCCGTGCAAATTGTCAGGTTTGACGGAACAAAGACTTTACTTCGCGCACATGACCGATCCACCACTGTAGATCTTTTGCTGCATCTGGGGTTAGACTGACTAAAGAGACAAAATTCTCTCGGCTTCTTTATGCCGAAAATTGAGAAGCTGTTGCAGAGCCCGGAAAAGTAAGGGCCTTGGAAGAATGGCTTGCTTGGCGGACTCTAACAGCCCCACCACGCTGGCTAGCTGTCTGATTCCTATCACCTCCTGTTCTAGAAGTGATAGGCAAGAACTCACTACCTTGTCTAACTTGTCTTCGGTTAGGTAAATTGTCAAAGTACGAGAATCGAGAACAAGGCCTAGGAAAGTCGCTACCTGAGACGGTACCAACTGCGACTTCTCAGGTTGAGAACAAACCGAGTTGCTCTAGAAGCTCTCTGCCTATAGCAATGTGCTCTAAGCATTGTTCCCTCGACCTTGCAATGATCGGTAAGTCGTCTAGGAAAACTACTACTAGTAATCCAGGGGTCTTCTCTTCGTACTTTTGCTTGTGTTAGCTTGGCTAATTCGTGAAATTTTGCTGATTTGGGGGCCAAGCGGCGTCACTATGCCCATCGGTATTTGTCTGACAAAAGTTGTAAAAAAGGCGCTATTTGAATAACAATAGTCCACTTTGCTACACAAAATCAATGTGTTTGGTAAAATGTTGACACCCTGTTGGCATTTGAAAATCCTATTTTCATGTAAACAACGCTAATTTCTCCATGAAATACAGCCCAAACAGTCAGAGAATAGATTTTTAGGGGCTAGTATATGGCGATCGTAACGTGGAAAATCCCCTTTCAAAATTCGGCAACATGGAAGAAAATAACTCACGAAAATCTTCCCTTCAAATGAGGAATCAGTGCTCCAACAATTAAACATAGAGAGAAGAACATTTCTTCTTTGTTGTGACCTTGTATTCAATCCATTTTTACGAGTTTTGGACACGTTTTCGTGGCCTTGAACATAGAAATGTGTAGCGCTCGGCACGAGGTCGGCCATCTTGTTTTCTTCAAATCTCCCGATATCTCGCGAGATTCAGTGAGACTTGGGCAAAAACACTGCAGTTTTGACCAAAACCGCTAGATGGCTAGGGTAGAATTACAGGTTTGTTGTAGCTATAGTTAAACTTTGAACGGTTGGACTTAGAAGTGCTCGAAGGGGCTGACTTATAAGCCTTACTCAAAGTGCGTCTAGCCTAATCGGCTGAATTAACCTTCTCCAAAAAGGTGTCTCCAAATTAAGAAGGGGAAGAATCTGAAGTTCCCGAGCAGGTCGCTACATTTTTGAGCGAGGACTTTACTCACAAAATCGGAGTTTAACTGCTGCCAACAACTCTACTAAAAGGTTAGCAGCCATGAGCATCTTATCCTGGCAATCACTATTATCAGTGTTTACGGTATCACGCTTGATCATATTAGCCACTACTGGGTCTAGAATCGGCGCCCGAAGTGCTAAATTATTCAACATTAGGTGGAGTGGGAAAAGTTTTCCTTCCTCTCTTCACCAAGGGTTCGGACCATCCTCTAAACCCGATGCTGTTTGCAAAGCGATAGAATCGTCTTTGGTGTTTTTTGGGATCAGCTTCCTCTACTATGACTCAGTATAGACGTGAAATGTGTGGCAAGGACATGAAACAAGATATGAAACATGTCTTCAAGACCGATTTGCCCACCGGTTCCTCCAAATACTTATTTGAAGTTATTATCGTAGGGATTATCAAACGACAAGGAGTTACCTTCGTCAGAGTCAGAAAAAGGTGATTTTTCCCTCCTCCGAACACTCTTCCACTTCAGAACCTGGATGCTCTCGCCGGAACCGACTACACCGGCTCGGCTGGTCGACGCTACCGCCCCGTCAACGTCCCGAGGTTGACGGGATGAACTGGACGCCTGAGGAAGTCCCAAGCTGGAACTGATCCACTGAAGAAAAGAGGCAGCGTCGAATCCAGGCGGGAAGGGTGTTTCTGATGGAGGTGGGGGTGGAGGAGACTTTTCCCCACCAAGCTTCGGCATGGTCGGGGAGCCCAACTCCTCCGAGTCCGGAGGAAATTTAGGCCGGGGCGGCGGCAGCTCCGCGCCGTCTCCTTCCTTGACCGATGTTCCCGGTGCCAACGCCGATGGGGCATTCCGCTCCCAAGCGGCGGATGTTCCCGGTGCCAACGCCGATGGGGCATTTCGCTCCCAAGCGGCGGAATGAGGTTGGCGTTCTTCTCTTTTTCCTCCGAACCTCCAGCTGTAGGAGCGGGGACTTTTCGTTCACCCGACTCCTCTTCCTCCTGTCCGGAGGCATGTGCAGGCACGCCTGTATAATTTTTCCACTAGCGTTGGGAAACAGGCCGCTTCTCTTGCCGTTACGACCCGTCTGGTCCTCCGAAAGGCTACCTGAATCGCCCTCGTGGGCAGAAGACTTCGTTTTATCCTTCTTTTTGGGCCTAACGCCGAAAGAAAATAAGGAGTAGGGAAACGAACGTGCACCCCTCTGCGAAGGCACAAGGAAAATGGCGGCGAACATAGTCATTACGTCATGATATCCCGTGATGCTTTGCGATTAAAGCTTTGTACACGTGCGCCACCTAGCGATAAGCATAGGAAATACTGCATAAGGTAAACGATATACCCAAATAGGGAGTGTGCAGGTATAATATTACATTTCAAGCTAACTGTGCATGCTGAAAGTATGCGGCTAGGGTACAAAATGATACTAGAAGATTCTGTGTAGTTACCTTTATCTTTGGCAGTAGTTCGGCATTAGTGAACACATGGGTGGCCTCAGATTCATTGATGCCGTGAGCTATGGCCTCCTCTCCGAGGGTGGCATAGATCGTAACCACTATAAGGAAACAAAAAATCAGAGATTTCAGTCTTCTGAGAACTATCTGAAGGCAAATATGATTCATCTGACAAGACGTAAGAAAATTTTGCATTCAACCACAAACTGATTTGCTAGTTATATATGCACTGATAGAAATATATTTCTTTACTAGTTTAGAAATACATGTAAATTAGGTGAAATAGTAGCCACACATACAATTATACAAGTAGACAGACAAAAAAATCATTTAATGTGCATAGACGCATGTATGCTATTAACAATGCAATATCTTAGTCTGTCCTTGGTGCTGAATAGCTTTCTATTCATCTGAAACAAGTCAGATGACAAAAAAATACAGCTATCATCAGCATTTTCCTGCCATTTTTGTCAAAGATATCTGTATAAATAACTCAAATTGTATCAACAAATCATGCCTAAGCCTGGCTTACATGCTGTGTCCAAAACACCTTTCTAAGCCCCTGTTTTTTTAATGAATGACCCACTAACGGCATGACCTAGTTGTGGGCATATACAAGACGTCAGAACCCATTGCCCTATACAGCAACCCTTTATGTTGATTTTCCATTCACTACAGATATTCACTGTCCATCTCCTTATATACAAAATGGTCCTTTGTATCTTAATTGCCAATACATCTTAATTTCTGCTGATATGATAATTATTACAGACAGAAAATTTCGCACTAGAAATTGTCTAGGATTTTTGACTACAGACAAATGGCCAGGCCCGGGGGTTAGAAGCGGGAAACAATCAATAAAATGACAGTTAGTGCTCTGACAGTGGAATCACACAAACCCACGCAAAAATCCATACTGTGGGTTTTTCGTGCTACCTTTGCATTGCAAATGTCTCAATTTTGGGTTACTTGAAATACTAGCTCTTCCTTTTAGTTAATTGGTCATTACAAATTGACTTTTTTTACACTTACACAGGATATTGGCTTTCCTTGCTAATCATTACACAAGATCCAATTCCAAAATGTATGCTAGTACTTCTTTAAACAATTCTACCAGGAGAGATTCTGATCCGAATCTGTATATTTGATGTTATTCGATTGGGAAAGACAGTCAGACTCAGAACTTTGATTCATTTAACTTTATGGATTGACTTGAAATTTAGGATTTTCAAAGAGAAAAACACTCTAAGTCTAACACACAAGACTTGAAATTCAGGATTTATAAGAGAAAACCACTCTAACACATAAGACTTGAAATTTAGGATTTACAAGAGAAAACCCCCTAACACATAAACAGCCTCCTGTTAATAAAGAACACTTACAGGGGTAGTTGAACTTGAAGCACGTCTGTGCTGTGACCATCCAATCTGCCCGTGTCTCGGCCAGCATCAGAACGTTGTTCCGTGGCTTCTGTCCGAGCGCGGCCAGACCCTGTCCCAGACTGACGATACGCCGGTCCACGTCCGTGTACGTCTGCCATTTGTACTCTCCTAAGATCACCTGTGGCAAAATAAACATTTTTTAAGAAAATCTAACAAACTACGTCATATTTTTGCCACACCGACACAATTTCTTAGCTTGCAGATTTTTGCAGAAAACTGATAAAGCAGGCAGGCAAAATGATTTAAATAAAAAGGAATCAGGAATAATAGTAACTTTTTGCTGACCTAATGATAGACTGCTTACGTAATTAAAATGATAGACGTTAGAAAAATACTACATGTATAAAATTGATCATAAATGGACTACTAGCAAGTAACATATTCCATGTTATATCATTAGTTGCTATTGTATTTTAAGTAAAATGTTGAAATGTAATTTCCTTATTCCCATCATTTACAACATGATTTTTCGGCCAGAAAACCACAAAATTCCAATTTCTGTTCCTCCACAGTGATTTACGTTAACTCATGACCCAGCTATAATGAAATCTCCAACGGCCTTGTGCAATGCCCATATTTGGTCATGCTGCAGATTCTGATCAATAAAGTACAACCAAGACCCCCTAACTCCCCGCACACCTGCAGTCGACTTCATTGAAACCATATAGTGTTTGAGTTACCATGCATGACTGATAGATAATACAATTAAATTTCATACAGAACATAATGGGTATATTCTAAATGGCTCTGGCTTTTAATAGCTTTATGATTGCTTATTTGACCAGACATAATCAAATTAATGAGTACAATATCATATTGATAGGTAGTCTTCTGAGTCTTTTTTGGCACAATGCCTGTTTAAAATAGCAACTCACACTCACACACAGTCACAGTGGATTAGAATAGTACTCTAAGTCCTGGGGATATACTACTGCTGTAACAGTGTGATTTAAGGTCAAACACTCAAATTGCTATTTCAGCCCGAATTTGTATTCCTCAACTTTAAAGTACTTGTATGCATTTAATAATATCTGCATTCATTCATTGCTAAAAAAAAAGTTCGAACCTTGACATTTTGGTTCTCATTGTCACAACAAGTTTGTTCCCCTTTATGCAAGAGATCATGCTAAATATATACGAAATAAAGAAGTGTGCGATAAAAATAGATTATCTATAATTCATTTTGTTCCAGGCCAGCATGCATTTCTTTGAGAAGTGAAGACTCAATCTTGATGAAAACATGCCCAAAATACTTGTGAACATTTCTCAATTGAATGTTGTTTTATTAAAGGATCGAATGCTTAATTTTTGTCTTACTCAAAGATTTGTGAATACCCGAATACGAAGATGGTTTTTCTAATCTTAGATTTAAAATGGCTCTCGTAAGTAAGATGTAAATTTTACACACTAGTTTGAACAATGAAGTTTTAAACATTTTGAAACATATTTCTGAGAATGTAAGCGAATGCAAGAAAGACTGTTCTCAGAAATGGCTCTCATAAGTATGACGGAAATTTTAAATAGTTGTTTGCAGGGTAACGCAATTGAAACATTTCCGACTGTATTCCAGGGTACATGTGCGTAAGCGCGTGGGTGTTCCTATTCCATCACGACCCAGCACCAAGCCAACACGATTCAAACACATGCTTTTTCCCAGACACAAAGGCAGAGTGACAATCTGACATGTCTATTTAGTGGACAAGCTATTTTCAAGGTTCTCCATATGTCACGCCCAAGCCTCAAACGTTAATAGGGGGACATTCTTGGTGCTCCCTGTGGTATAACTTAGGCAGCGGCATTCTTTTGTGGTGGGTATTCCTTCCTCTGGTCACTGCAAACAGTATATGCAAATACTGTAAAATGCATTTACTTTTGCAGCTTTTATTTTCAGTTTTCGTGGTGTCCTCTTAATGTGAAATCATGACACCACGGATATGTGTTTGTATTTCTGTATTGTACCACAGAATTGTTTCAACCATAAACTTGAAACATCACGAAAATTTATTCTCTTCATAACATGAATAAAAACTGCAATTCTTAAGAGTACATGTATATATTAATGCATTTACCGTATGTACGTACTAGCCGCAGCTGAGAAAACCTTTACCGTGAACAATGCACTTTAAGTCTAATGACGTTATTTGTATTCGCCTTTCCCCAAAGTATTGACGTCATGTTCAAAGCAAACTCCTATATCTGATTTCTATGCCATTAATTGATGCTCAAGGTCTCAGACTGTACACTATATATAGGTGGTTATGTATAACGTTTCTTTCATCTTTGTAGCAACGGAATATTTTCACTTGAATAATTTCACTAAATCACCCAAAATCATATTTGAAAAGCTGGATTTTTAAGCAGTAATTTTAATTACATCTGTGCAAGATGTAATTGTTGATTACGTTGAATAAACATATTAGGGAGTGAGATAGGGAATTATGTGTTAGCCACCTGCTGTTGTTCTCATCATAGTAAAACACACTGACCTCACAACATCCAAAATCATGAATACTCCCATTCATTTACAATTCCCAGTAGATCTATGGCTGTTTGTGCATTCAGAACAGGTGCACTATGGATTTTACAACTGCCATCCACAATAGTTCATTAGCAAACCATCATTGAATTTTCCTATTTGAAAGAAATAATAAAAACTGAAATAAAGCTGCATATATTGAAACAAACATGAGTAATATCATATTAATGGCATACGAATGTAGGAATATTGAACATTTGGCCATGCTTTTTCCATTGTTTTCTAATACGTGTAGATGGTGCATGAAAAAATTATCAGACCAAATATTAGTAATTTCTTAGCAATTTTGGGTACACTAATCATTATTCTTTGTTTTTCCTCTAATCATTGTGAGGACATGAACTCCCGCCCTGCCTTAAATAGAAGCCTTAAAAAGTCCCACGCGCTCCCTGCTTTATTGGGAATTGCATTCCATGAAAATTTTATGGGGAAGCTAGCCGGGCGTGACCCAGCCACGTACACATGTGGAATCACGCATCGATTCACGCCCATCCAGATTCCGTATCCTGATTCCATCCAGGAATCTTTGACATTTCCCTACATTTTCATGTTTCTCTGGCATCATTTCTACCTACTACAGTTGTACATAGTAGATAATGAATTAAACCAACAATTGCAATCATATAGCCTGACGCTTTCGAGCTGAATACAATCATGCTTCATCCCTATAAAATTATAAATTGGTCCGAGGCACTGGGTGGGATAAACCATAATGATTGTAATACAGCTAGCCAGAGTTGAAATGGTCCGTAATGATGTATACACATGATAATTCGTCCATGTTTACTGTACCTATGCACACAATGTAAACTATGGGAACACGCAAGATGCAGAAGAAAGGGCTATTAAGGCTTTTATCAGTGAAGCAAGGTCAATCTTATACAAATACTGCATACAAAATTGCATGAAAAGAAAATTTTGACAGAAAACCCTTAAACAGTTGGTAAGATATTCAACATTTGGCTTTCCATAATATTTTGTTTGTCAGTCTGATAAGCATGTAAAGATAATGCATTTATTTATTGATTAAGACTGAATTTGACCATTTTTACTTGTTCCATTGAGCTGTTATTGTTAATTACGAAGCAATCCTTTGATGCTATTGCTATCTATCAATTGACTGGGAATTCAAGATAAATTTACCCGGGTCAGTTTCAAATCAATTTCTGCAGTGTCATTAGAATTTACAGGCTGTAACTGAGAGGCTAGGAGAGTCTAGATCTGTTTCTCACCTTTTTGAAGACCTTTCCGTTGGGTTGAACCTCGTCTTCTTCACTCAGTAGCTCCCGGGTTCCCAGGCATTTCTTGGTGGCGTACAGGCCCACGGCGCGCGACCACAGCTTATCGATGGTGTCACACTCTTCAAACATCATCGTCTTCAGCTCGGGGGAGTCCACACTCCGGTACGGCGCTGCCGGGTTTCCTTCCGCAGAACGTGCGCGGATTCTCCGCGACATGGCGAGCTTGAGGGCGGCTAGCACGACAGATACGAGCAGAAGCGAGGTGAGAGGGAGGACAGCCAAGAGCAACAGAGGGGAGGCTGCTGGCAGATACTGAAGCACGCCGGCTAGCTGCTCACTGAGCATGTGCCAGGGCATGGTGGTGGGCGTGGCCTGCGGAAGACACCACGCTGTTAGTAGGGGGGCAGCAACATGGAGGGACTAGGTTAGCAATCTTTTACAATATCGTATACCACTCTAAATTATCTGCAAAATGCAAATATACAAAAAAAAAGGGAAACAACATATAACAATGTCTGTATAATCAATAGTAAATAAAAAGGAATGCTGTTAGTGTTATTAATTGTTAATGCTTGATATTTTGGTACAATCAATGGTATTAGCTATCCATAGAAAATCAAAATGTACATGTATTTAACAATGACAAAATGAAAAAAAATGTTGCTGACAATAATACGCGGACTAGAACAAAGCCATATGCAAGTAGCATAAATAACATATTTATACAAGTAGATCGTATCATTGTAATGTGCAACTCCCTATTGGTGACAACACAAGTCTTATGACATGAATGAATTTCAAACAAATCTTATAGAAGCAGAAAGTAATATTTATGAATTTACAAGGTCAGTGACATAATTTGTTGTCTCTGCATAGTAATGAAGATGACACTTTGATTGACACCAACAGCCTGTCTGTATCTGTGGCACACAAATGTGAGACTACTGATCTGAAGTTACAGGGACAGGTGCCTTCATTGGTGGAAAACAACAGCTGATCATCACCCCATCTACAACATACCACAGTCAGGACCTTTTGTGGTTGCCTTTTGGTTTACTAAGCTCTTGTTTTCTTAACAAATTTTTTCTACTAAACGTTGCTTTCAAAAAAGTCATCACACTTTAAAGATTTGATGTCCCCACTGAAATGGCATTTATTTATAGTAGAATTCTTTAATTTCTTTTTACTTTAAACATTAATTTGGCTCAAAATATCTGTAACTACATGCACACACACAGTTTTTTTGGCCTTTCCACAAGATTTCTAATGTTACTAGTACAGCGTATATCATTTGAGATTTTATGGGTGAATCTAAAACTTACATGGTCGTGATAGGATCATGGCTTTTACAACCCATCTACTTAAGCAACATCCTCCCAAAAAGCTGGTGTACACTCGGAGTAGATAAAGGACCAAGTACAAAAACTGATAACATGAGATGCAAGGGAACTTTTCAAAATGTAACCAGCTGCTTATCATGTTTACAATGCCAACTTTTATCAGATTTGCATGTTCCATTAATGTATGTAAACATACTAAACATACACAATTCTGAAGATTATTGCATGCACACAATACATAGATTATAACATACATATAGATTATAACATGCAAGTGACTTTGACCAACTAAACCTTCTATAAGGACTCCAAGAGTTCAAACTTCCCCAATTGCAATGGCAGGACTCCTGTTGCATTTTAACATGCTTGTTATCTGCTGTTTCAAAGAAAACTGATAGGGGGAATCACTCTATCAAGAGTTGTTTCTACTTGAAAAATCCTGGATTCTGATCAGATACTTAAAAAGGGTCTATTCCTTTTTTTACCCCATCCCCCAGAAAAGGCAACAAACTAACAAACTTACAAACCCTTAGAAAAATAGATCCTTCAGGCATATACATTGTAATTTTAACGGACCCGATATGTGCACCTTATGTGGCCCTAAGCAACTTGTGCGTGAGATAGTTCACGTCCAAGGGCACATTTGGAGTGCAAGGCCAAAGCCAGTGTGCAGCCAATCGGAAATAATAAGCAAAAGCTGACGTGTCCCGAAAACAGGAACTGGTGCGATTCGCAAAACTTCACATGGCACTATGACTGTGCACGAAATAATAATTTTGCATTGAAAAAAACAGGACTTCAATCATATAAAATTCGAGGAGAAACTAGCAAATAATTTCCCCCAAACCGGAACGTTGCACAGTTTCTGTACCGTTATGTATCTGCACATCTGTATCATCAAAACATCAGAACGTTAGAATCGCATCACGTCGTCTCTCAAATATGCAACTTACCGGCTCTTTTCTTGGAATAAATCGGACGACAGCAGCTCAGACCGAACCCTTTGCTTCCCACAAGGTTCCTGAAAATATTCTGACCAGAGTGAAGACTGGAATCAGCTGAAATTTGCTGAAATTCTGGAATTTCGCGACACCCTATATTCCTCCCGCCCTCAGGGAGCAGGTGATCGTCTGGTTCTAATTTTGGGGAGATTGCGTCATACGTCACGTGATACACAGGCGAAAGGGCGTAGTGGGGGCGGGACTTGCACAATGTTGAAAAAAAATAGCTTTAAAATGGCATTTATTACAGAAAATCAACATTTTTATCTATAAATGCATCATACAGTAGCTTACTTTAGGGAATATCAGTCTAAACGGCAAGTTAAATGTATTATGACATCATCATAAGTTGTGGACATGTGACGAAAACACAACGAGGTCACAGATCATCTGGAAGGGTAACTTTGTTTTTCTGCTGTTTCCACCGGCAGAATGTCGTCCATTTTGGCGCTGACAAGGCCGAGTCTTGTTCACAGGCTTTGTGTGAATGCCAGCCGTCCAGCTGTCTGCGTTACAGGTAAGAGAAACTGGTTTAGTTTGCTTTCCCCGTAACTTGTTGTTGTTTGGTGGGGAGGGGGGCGTTCTCACATGCGTATGCAGTCAGTCCATAATTTTGGGGGCGCACAGCAAAGTTACGTTCCTCTAAACGCGTTTGTGTTCAGGGACATTTTAAAGTGCAGAGAAGAATGATTTTCAGAATTTGGAAGCAGAATACGATTTTCTTAGGACGCAGAACAGAACAATGAAAATGATGGAAGTGTACATAATTTGCATAGCCAAATAAATTTTTATAACGTTGACCCACAGAACTTCAGAAGTCAATAATAAACCAATAAACTCCAATAAGTAAATGTTGAATAACTTTGTTCTGATCCTTGTTGTATAAATAGTTATTTATTAGCTAGGTGTCTATAATCGTTCTGAATCTGAATTTCATAAAGTGTTCGCATATTGATATCTAAATGTGTTGAACTTATTAATGTCAAAAAGTTTTTGAGGAAATAACTGGTGTATGTTTACTCATCTCATACCAGGTACCCGGCTCCTCCATAGAGAGCCGCTGGATGAGGAGTGGGCCCAGCTGGCCAAGAAGCAGCTCCGTGGGGCAGATCCAGCTGAGAAACTGACATGGCACACACCTGAGGTCAGTGTCTCACTCACTCACTCTCACTCACTCACTCACACCTGAGGTCAGTGTCACTCACTTACTCTCACTCACTCACTCACTCACTCACTCACTCACTCACTCACTCACTCACTCACTCACTCACTCACTCACTCACACACTCACACCTGAGGTCAGTGTCACTCACTCACTCACTCACGCACGCACTCACTCACTCACTCACTCACTCACTCACTCACTCACTCACTCACACCTGAGGTCAGTGTACCCTTATAATAAATATAAGAATCTTAAGAATCTGGGGCAACAGTAAAGAAACACATCAAAACACAAAGGGGTCTCCTGAGAATCAAACCCAGGCCACTAGCTCACAACCCCAATGCCATAACCGCTAGGCCAAAAGGTCCAGGACCCATCAGACAAGTCAGTCAGTAGCACTTAGAACCCCACTGTCACATGTTTACCCATATGCTATGTATTAGAGTTGTAAATAAAAAGTTAGATAACATCATTTGATTCAATCAATTTTAACCAATTGTTTCACGCTCTGTATAATTCAGTACCAACAATGTGTGCCATTATAAATCTGAGAAACTGTGATGGAGAGAAATAAACCAATCACTTTGTTGTAGGCAAAAAAAATAATAAAAGCAAATAACACTTGTAAATGTTTAGTTAGCCTTTGAAATCTTTTTTCCCCACAGGGTATTGATGTAAAGCCACTTTATACCAAGAAGGACACAGCCAATATTGAACATGAGATCCCAGGAAAATACCCCTTCACCAGAGGACCATATCCCACCATGTACACTGGGGTAAGTATCTCTTAATATTATGTCTACTTACAAAACTACACTACCTAGTCTCTACTTTGAGATTTAATGTCTTCTAAATCTAAACTAAAATCTCTCTAGACTCAGTCACTGATAAATGCTATCTCCTCAGAGACTTTGTTTAGTTGCTTTATTTATTTTGTATTACAGTATGTAATGTTCTTCCTAGATGTCTAACCTTCATCAACATAAAACATTAGAATAGAAGTTACAGTCGTTTGCTGTTATTTTCAGGCTATTAAAAGCAATATGTCAACACCATGCAGAAGACAAATACATTGTTTTTTTGTGTTGCCTAGCGACCGTGGACCATCCGTCAGTACGCAGGTTTCAGTACGGTTGAAGAGAGTAACAAGTTCTACAAGGAGAACATCAAGGCTGGTCAGCAGGGCCTGAGTGTGGCCTTTGACCTGGCCACACATCGAGGCTACGACTCGGACAATCCCAGGGTGCACGGGGATGTCGGGATGGCAGGTATGATACTACTAGTATGTGAAAGGGCACACTGATCAGATTATATGGATGGCATCAATTTTCATCTGTTTCCAGAAATGAATAAGTTCTCAGTCATTTGTACAACCATCTTGACTACTTAGATTTCAAAATCAAACTTTTTTGTCTCCTTTTTTTTCTCAGAATACATCAATTTTGAGGTACACAGAGGATGTCATCCATATAATCAAGGACCTTGATATAATCAAACAGATTGGACTAAACAGGAAACAAGGGTTCTGCACTCTCATACTTTCAACATTTGTCTTCTTATGATTACCCTTGATAGTAACAGATATAATACGTCTAGGAAGGGTTGATTGTAGAAAATTGCAGACATCAAAACTAACATTGTACTTACTGGTGTTTGTAAGAAAAAATAATTACAAGTAACCCATCTTTCTGCACAGGTGTTGCAGTTGACAGTGTGGAGGACATGAAGGCCCTGTTTGACGGAATCCCACTGGAGAAGATGTCCGTTTCCATGACGATGAACGGGGCTGTCATCCCGGTCATGGCCATGTTCATTGGAGCAGGGGAGGAACAGGGTGTGAGTCCCTCCCAACTCACAGGTTAGGAATGTTCCATTCACAAACTTTGCAGGGGAGGAGCAGGGTGTCAGTCCCTCCCAACTTACAGGTTAGGAATGTTCCATTCACAAACTTTGCAGGGGAGGAGCAGGGTGTCAGTCCCTCCCAACTCACAGGTTAGGAATGTTCCATTCACAAACTTTGCAGGGGAGGAGCAGGGTGTCAGTCCCTCCCAACTCACAGGTTAGGAATGTTCCATTCACAAACTTTGCAGGGGAGGAGCAGGGTGTCAGTCCCTCCCAACTCACAGGTTAGGAATGTTCCATTCACAAACTTTGCAGGGGAGGAGCAGGGTGTTAGTCCCTCCCAACTCACAGGTTAGGAACATTCCATTTACAAATGAGGAAAATTCACTGAAAGCTGAATAATAGTTTTCTTTTTCCGTAATGAATATTATGAAGTATGATTTTTTTTTTTCAATAGGGACCATACAGAATGACATTCTGAAGGAGTTTATGGTGAGAAACACCTACATCTACCCACCTGATCCCTCTATGAGACTCATCGGTGACATCTTTGAGTATACCTCACAGGTGAGTGTTACACTGTTACTGCTAATGTCTGGGTGTCAGCCAAGTTCCTGAACTACCGGTACTACTTACTTACTTTAGTCACTTACCAACTACATCTACTATAAATGTGGCATCATGTCCTGACAAATCCAAATCTGGCCATGGCAGACAACTTTCAAATATTTATGTCCAAATTATTTTTACAGATACCAAAAGCTTCAGTCTCAGTGTACATGGAAACCTTTGTTTATTTCTAATTGCTATTAATCTATATTCGTATAATATACTTACAGTTACATGTTTGCTTTGTATTTAGTGTGTTGAGTTGAGTGTGTTGCACCCAGTTGTACTGTATTCATACCAAAGAAATCTACACCTCTTTCAAACAGAACATGCCCAAGTTCAACTCCATCTCCATCTCTGGGTACCACATGCAAGAGGCCGGGGCAGACGCCATCCTGGAGCTCGCCTTCACCATCGCGGACGGGCTGGAGTACTGCCGCACGGGTCTGAAGGCCGGGCTCGACATCGACAAGTTCGCTCCCCGCCTCTCCTTCTTCTGGGGGATCGGCATGAACTTCTATCTGGAGATTGCCAAGATGCGGGCGGCGCGGCGGCTGTGGGCTCACCTCATGAAGGAGAAGTTTGGAGCGAAGAAGGAGAAGTCTCTGATGCTGCGCGCTCACTCGCAGACCTCCGGATGGTCTCTCACCGAGCAGGACCCCTACAACAACATCATGAGGACGACCATAGAGGCCATGTCCGCCGTCTTCGGAGGCACGCAGTCTCTACACACCAACTCATTCGATGAAGCCCTGGGGCTGCCCACCGTTACAAGTGCCCGCATTGCCCGCAACACCCAGATCATCCTGCAGGAAGAAACAGGCATCCCTAACGTGGCCGACCCTTGGGGAGGGTCCTACATGATGGAATCTCTCACTGATGAGGTTTACGAAGCAGCGTTGGGTGTGATTAACGAGGTAGAGGAGATGGGAGGGATGGCTCGAGCGGTGGCGGAGGGAATGCCGAAGTTGAGGATCGAGGAATGTGCAGCGAGACGGCAGGCTCGGATCGACTCAGGACAGGAAGTCATCGTGGGGGTCAACAAGTACAGACTGGAGAAGGAGGAAACTGTTGAGGTAACAAGTTCATTAACGTACCAGCACATTTGAAAAGATTTTCAGCATTTGAAACTACCGGTTGCTTTTTTGTGCACATATGTGTCTTTATTCTAGGCCTGCCAAAAACATTTTGTTCATTATTTTGGTCAAAATTGAATGATAATGGTCATCAGAAAATGTAATTGACTTAAAAGTAGACTGGCATAGAGGGAACAATGTGACTTGCATCTTATTTTCACCAGCCAATGGCATATCGGATACTGCTCTGCCTATTTGATACACATGGAGATTAAGAAAAGTAGTGTTGTGCATGCTTTTGATTTTGAAGAAATACATGTCTTGTGACTTTTGTCCGTACAAATGTAGGTACTGTCCATAGACAACACTGCTGTACGGGAGGCCCAGATGGAGAAGCTACGCCAGCTGAAGGCATCACGAGACAACAGTAAGGCAGAAGCTGCACTGGAAGCCATCAGACGGGGGGCTGAGGGAGATGGCAACATGCTTTCCCTGGCCGTGGACGCAGCCCGCGTTCGTTGTACCGTCGGGGAGATCTCGGACGCCATGGCATCCGTGTTCGGCCGCCACGTTGCCAGCGACCGCATGGTGAGTGGTGCGTACAAGTCGGAGTTTGGTGAATCGGAAGAAATCCAAAATGCCATGCGGAGAGTGGAGGGGTTCATGTCCGCTGAAGGGCGGCGGCCACGAATCCTGGTCGCAAAGGTCGGCCAAGACGGCCACGACAGGGGGGCAAAGGTCATCGCCACGGGTTTCGCAGATCTCGGGTTTGATGTGGACATCGGGCCGCTGTTCCAGACGGCCGCGGAGGTGGCCCAGCAGGCAGTCGACGCCGACGTCCACGTGGTCGGGGTGAGCACGCTCGCTGCCGGACACAAGACCCTGGTCCCCGAACTGATCCACGAGCTGAAGGAGATGGGACGCGGGGACATCATCGTGGTGTGCGGGGGAGTGATCCCGCCAACTAGGACTACGACTATCTGTACGCGGCGGGCATCACCAGCATCTTCGGCCCCGGTACCCGCATCCCCATCGCAGCCATGGAGGTGCTGGACAACATCGAGACATCACTGAAGAAGAAACAACATGCCTTGTAGAGTCTATCTGTATGCATGTCAGCACAACGTACTGCACTTGTGCAAAACCCAGATTTATCATGGTTTCTATTGGTCGTTTGGTAATTGTTGCATCAGAATTTTGGCAACTACAGATAATATATTTTCAAACACAGCATTTGAAAACTATAGATGGGATGACATTCTTAAATACACAAATACAAGTTTAAAAGAGATGTTGTGATATACACAATACTTTACAGGTTTTGCAGTACGTTTTGCCAACTTGTTCTATCTGTGCTGACAATGATCCTAGGAGATGAAAGCTGCCAAACGTACATGAACAACTAATCTTAACATTTTGCTGCTGTGATTTCCTGAGCAGATGTGCCTGATAATGGAAGATACACGTATAAATCTTTTAGACATGGTGAAAGATATGAGTGAAATATTAATTACATATTTGTTGTTGTAGGTGTATGTATGTACTATAACTTATATCTGGCCAGACAACTAGACAGAAAATGAACACAGAAAATTGTCTCCTTTTCCTTTATTTTCAAATTAGTGTTCAAACAAAATACAAGTTTAACATGTAATCAGTACAATTACACAGTTGGCAATGATCTTTTTAAGTAATGTGTGTTTCTCAACCCGTTTATTTTCCAGCAGAAAAGTTCTCTTGGAATGTTATTAAAGAAACTGCGACAGACAAGGACAAAACCAGCGAAGCACAGCTTTGTATGACCCCAGGAGGCTTCTTCTGACCAAGACTGCTGGCATCACAGGGTTCATATCTGTCATTTCCAACAATATTGAAATGCCTCTCTAGTCCAGATATACATTTGATCCACTCAAATGACTGACCACAAAGTACTTAAATTCACTTTGTCTTCATGGTAGATAAATTTTATGGTCTGAGGAAAATGGAAATTAATTTTCATACTGGCAAATGATTTGGTAACAGTAATGATAAGTTACTGGTACAGAACTGACCATGAACATAAAAGTACCGCGAAAAATAACAAAATACAGTACATTATTAGAAGTTAGGAACAGGTTCAATTGTTGACAGATGACACACCAGCCTGTGTTGCCAGCAGTTTTTGCGAGTCTGAATTCACCTATTCTGCACATTTAAAATTTAAATATTTTCTTTTAAAGAAATGTTTTGATTGTTTTAACATAAAAGATTGCTTCTTGTTACCATTCCCCAAGCACCATGATACAGCTACAAATTGAGAAAGGAAAAAAAAAACACAGCTTTTGACACCTTACACACTAGACCAACATGTCATGTAATACACCAAATGTTTCTTCACTAAGGTGAGGACATACGTCTCATAAGATGTTCTTTCTACAACTTTGCAAGCATCCTAGATTCAGGATCAATTATAAGAACATTGACAGGGTAAATTAAAAGCCATGCTTTTTCTGCATAACATTGCATAAGGGCACACTGTCAATGCAATTGAATAAAGATTAAAAGAAAATAAGACAGGTAATTCAACCAAAATGATCCTTACTTGAGCATGTGTTGATTACTAGTAACTTAACATGTAATTTTTACATGTAATTTTTACATGTAATTTTTACATGTAGTTATAACCGCTGCGGATGACACAGTGTAATATATTTCAGTAAAATTTCTTTCAAACAAAAACGAAAGACAACTTAATATGGATAAAATAGCAGAAAGATGGAAGGGGAATAGAAAGAACAGTCCAGCAATGCTCATTCAATGTTAACCAAGTGCTCATTTACATCTCTGATGCATTCCTTTAGCAATGGTGTAATATCGACACCCCCCCTATACAGCATGGTAGGCCACACGTGGACATGGGGAAGTCTTTACAAATCCAGCAAATAACAAAAAAAAAATTGACAACTACAAATCAGCTAATAGAACAAAGACATTCTCAGTACCAGGTATGTTGAGTACATACATCCTTCAACCTTAGACATACATGTACATGTATCCACCTCTCAAGTGGTAAAACATTTGCTGGATTTTTTTCTGTAGCAGTGTGTGTGTCACAATACAAAAGCTTTGCATAAGACAACAGGAAAAAAATGGTGATGACAACAATTCAACAGGCAATGCTACATATACAATGACATGTACTATGTGCCGATTAAATAATTGAGACTGTACAACAGTTTGCTGATGTGATGGCAAAATACCCAGACTACATGGACAGAGTAGTACACATTTTTTACATGTATTCAGAACTTTACACAACAATTCATATGCCTCCTCAAAAAAAAAAAACCTTGGGTCTTACATAAGTTTCAAATCTCCCCTTTTCCCGGATTCACAATATGATATTTTTGTATTAGTAAGTCTTTGTGTGTTAGGACAACAACATACAACTACAAGTATGGACAGGAATTCCATATTCACAGACCCCTCTAGATCTCTCTACCCATAAAATCACAACTGAGGTACATGTATAAGCTACAAGCATAGTCTTGTTTTCATAGAATACATACATCATAAGAATATACTATCAATATCATGTCCACCCTATATTAATTTACAACTTCTGTGGGCTTTCCTATACTCTACACCCATGTGGACTTAATATGTTAAGGCGAAACAATACTTCAGTTGCAATTTGTTATCAACCTGCACGGGGGAGCAGTTTCACGTGACCCCCACACCACTTTTCTGGTTTGCTAAACACTACAGGAAAAAGTGCAAACATGTGAGACAAAAGTTTTCAGGTTATGTACAGATCTGTGTTACAATTTGTAAGAAGGAACAAGTCAATCTTCAGTAATGAAGACATCTTTGCATATTTTTTTTCAGGGACAAATGTACAATACTTGAGGGGGGAGTATTTTGTTCATCCTTCTGCCAAGAATGCATACGAGCATGGATTTATGATTACAGAAGCATGGGATATCCTGTCCACCCCTACAAATGGAGTGGTAGAGTCCCGGTTGTGTCATGCAGGTTGATAACAGCCTCCATTTCAGACAGGAAGTTACTTTATCCCACAATGCTTTGCCATCCGCCCCCGGGTCACGTTGCTATGCCCTTCCTACGATGTTTTTGAAGGTGAGCAGTATGACGTTGGTTTGGTGGATCAGACGGTTTGCACTCTGGAACACGCTGACTTCCCTGGAAGTCACAACCAACAGCACAACGTTAGGAAGCCATTTTGTGTTGTCAAGTGGCTAGGCTAGCATACACGAGATCGAGAGGTCACGGGTTCGATTCCTGATGTTCCTCTCCAGACATTGTTTCCTTGGGAAAGGCACTTCAAACAATTTTCTTCACCCAGGTGTAAAATGGGTACCTGACTTAGGTTGGGGAGGTAAAAGATGGAGGAAGGAGAGGGATGGGCTCTGCCTTCCAATACTGTGCCCTAGACTCAGTAGACTAACAACCCACTGCCCCTACAGCCCCAAAATGCTATCAGACTACCTTAACCTTTTAGCAAAAATCAACTCGTAAGGCCACACCAATTGAATTTCTTGCTTATAACTTGTCTTATAACAACATTATTTTCTGTCTTTTTCTTCTTATTTTACTACTAAAATTACCCACAGCAAAAAGATGCATCAAGTCAGAGGGATAAGAAGCACATACCTGCCATCCTTGAAGTAACCCTTCAAGGTGTCACTGAAGTGCTTCGAGTGTTTCACAAACTCCTTCTTCTGGTACTCAAGTTGCTGCAGGAAGAGGCAAGGAGAAAAGTAAGTCCTTGATGTCAAGAAAGTAATGAACCAAGATAACAGTTGACTGACGAGTCAACTACTATATGGTATATGTAGTCTAATTATGACAAAATTAACCCAATTCAAAAGTTAACATTTGGTTAGTTTTGTTCACTTTTAAAGACAATTTCTAGCAAGACACTGCCTACAATTTGTTGCCAGATATGAAGATAAGAACATACATGTAGACTAGAACCAAGAACAATTTGTAACTATCCTAATACAGTTTAGAGATTCAAAAATAGATTGAGACAAACATTTTAGCATTCAAGACAAGTGTCTTTCGTGTATCATTTAACCCTTCACACAAATGATGACAATCACGAACCTAATACATATACAATGAGCCTTGACTAACCTTCCTACACACAAGTATAATGAAGCCCCCCTTACCTTTTTATGCCCCTGTATGTGGAGACTCTGTTGACTTTTAAAGACTTCGTTCACAGCATCCAAAAGTTCCTTAATCGCACTGGCAATGTCCCTGGGAGAGAAAGGAGGTAAATTAAAGATTTTGAAAAAAAAAACAGGAATCTGAAACAACACTACAACAATGCTAAAAATTTCACTGTTGTTCAGCATTGTTCAATTCTATATAACATCATCTCTGACATCATATTTCATTAGCAACATCAAAATGCACCATTTTGAGTACACAAATACATGATTATGAATTTATGACATTATTGATATACTTATTCACAACGTATTTCCCAGACTAATCATCCATCAGTTTATGTTAATAAAAGATTGAAAATACAGTTCATGTAATTTTGCTTCTTAGAGGCCAATTCCTTTGAACATATATCTTATTACAGCATTCTCTAATGGTTTTCAATACAAAAGTGTGTTGAAAGAATTCTTTCAGCCAACAGTAAATATAGTAAGTATGGGAATCCTTACTTTATTGTTTGTAGGAACTTTGACCTGTCGTTGATTTCGTCGGGGATTTTACTGAGGATCTGTTTCAGCGTCCGCGCCCTGTCGTTCAGACGAACAAACTCCCTCTCCGGGCGGTGCAGAGAGTACTCTGGGAACAAGAACAACATCACCAAATTAGCCCAAGTCCAACTGTTCACAAAACTACCATTAGTACAGTTATTCTGGTAATAATTAGTTACTGTTAACTGTTAGCAGCACAGGGACATTATAGTATACAAACCATTGGACTTCAACTATACACATCAATTACTGATTACATCATATGTTTATATCATACATCATTGATTACCTAAAAATAAAACTAGCGAGAACAAAGTACGCAATTCAAGCCACACCCTTATTTGCAAACATTGCGTTTCAACAGGCTCATTTGAATGCTGTACCAAGGCAATTATGTATACATGTACATGGACTGGTACAGATTAGGTACAGGCATCAGACATACCTGTACAGATCCAATTTTACCTACACTAACCTGCATATGCAGGTCTTTCCCAGAATAATATATTATACCGGAATTGTGCACAAAATAATGAGTGTGCTTGCAACGGTAACTTTTAACTCATGTGTGTGCTTGCAATGGTAACTTTTAACTAAGATCAACCTTAGGCTAATATTTCACAGAGAAGTCAGTCCTTTTTTTCTCATCCAAAGAAGGGGAAATGTACAGAAAAAAGGGGGTATTTGCCTACTAATAATTTGCATGTGCCTTCAAATAATTTGCTTGTACATGTGTAAGCAAAAACAGCGATCGCTCATTAAAATGATGTGAGAGGGGGGCCATGATGTTTTTGACCATATTTCGGACTGGTATAGCCTAAAATAAGAAATGATGTTAGCACTACCTTCACAATCATCTGCAGACATCCTTAGGAGGCTTTCTACCAGATTGACATCTGACCCCTGACCCCGTAGGACTCCCATAATCACTTCCTGGGTCAAGCCTGGGTTCTCTCGTTCCGCCTGAAAAAAACAGAAACAAAATACATTTTGTGCATTCTGACAGAATTTACATGGCACCTGTGGGAATGAGATGCAAGTATTGTCTGCCATCATGTTAGATGTTTAAGCTTGAAAATGGTCAACGCAACAATTGCAAAATTAAAGTCTGTGTCACATACACTATTGTAAAGTGGAACTCGTTTCCACCAAGCACAGTTGGAGCATCATCACTAGAAAGCTTTAAACAACTCCTGCAATTGTACATGCAAAGATTGAGTAACATTAGTCAATCGTTTGGTGTGATATGGCCAGCTGCCGCCGCACCGCGTGCCTGCGAAGCTGGTATGTTACGCCAAAGGGCGGTTATACCGGCTATACAGATACAGATACATGCAAAATATAACTGAAACAAGCTGCCACTTTGTTTTTGCTTGCAGATATAATTTTGCTAGCATGAAATCCAGTTGAGCTTTGCTGATCCCCACACAGGCAGTATACAGACCAGTTCAGGAGCAGTTTAACTAGTTACATTTTCATTAACCTAGTACATGTACAAACTAGCTAAAATTACCACCCTAGTCTAGGAGTGAGACTGTTGCCATGGCCAGTATACAGGCTAGCTCTTAAAATAGCCCTCTAGCTTCACAGACAAGCGACAGCCAATGTTTATATTACCTATGTAAAAGGCATCTCCCCAAGCCCCATTGATATAATACTTAGCACTGCATACTGGCTTTGGACCTGAAAGCCCCACCCATATAGACTTGTGTTCAGCAGTTCAACATGCCTTATTAAGATATCGGTGAGCCAAACACTTTTCACGTGCTATTACAAGTAAAGGTCAATTCTAAAAAGGTACAGTCATGGACCATGGAACATTAGTTAGTCTTTTCTTCTTTTCAAAACACTTGTACGTCAGTTCAACTAACCATAAAATTCATGCAACATTTACATAACAAGGAGATATGCTTGGTATCCAGCATTTCAACAGCTCTTTTGTAAATTTTTTATATAGAGCAGTTGATCTGTTTGCATTCATGATGATTTGCGAGCTTATTTGTTTGGAAACAAACTAAACCTGTATCTTTACACTTTAGAAGAACCTTTTTCACATGACCTTTCAAAACTGTGTTCTTATCTTCTATGGCTGAAAATTAAAGTGAAAAGAATCAGCAAACTAATGAAAATTATGTTGTGCTCTTCTGTACACGAGGTGGTATTTCATGCCCTTCATCTTAAGACGGGTACCAGTTGTTCCTTACCTTGTTAAATGCTGCCCTGAGTGTCTGTGCTGCTGCTGCATCTTTTTTCTGAACCTGAAGGACAACAACAACAAAACATAAACAACAACAAACCGATCACGATCTCAAGATTGTCAGAAACTTTTAAGTTTTCAGGAATTTTTTTTTTGCTTGAACCTTTAAAACATATCGTCAGAATATTGAGAATACTTTCCTTTATGTTGATATTAAATATGATGTATGGATATCAATATATTGATTTCATTTTCTCTTTAACTTAAGTCTAGGTCTCATTTTGTCTGGTATAAAAAAACAAGCAATGAATATCAATGGAAATTGGTCTACTGCCACTGGACACATGGGTCCTGTTGTTTGGACTGGAGTTGAAGTAATTTGTGTAAAATATATTGATAGGGCCTAGGAAAAAAAATGTTGTGTTTCCGGTTACCCGACCGACCCTATGAAAAAAACCCCGACCCTAGCCTTTTTTGGGCCGACCAAAAATTTCGAGCGGCTAGCGGTCGGTTTTCAAAATTGGGGATTTTATCCCCGATAAATGTGCTCGTCATTCCAATTTTCTTCGGTCGGGCGGCGTGGATCGAGCGCTAATTGCACGGATCGGGCCGCTATTCAATTCCATTGTCGGCACAATCCGGTGAATTGACGATGAATTGTCGATCTCGCCATGACGCCACAAAGAAAACGTTGTCATTGGTAGAAAATCTGACACCCCGTTGGCGTTTCACAACAAAATTTTCATGTAAACAACTCCGACTGTCTTTGTTTACATCGCGAAAGCTCACCGATACAAAGTAAAACTCCCGCCGGCCGGCCGCGCCCGATCGTATGGTTGCGGCATGGCGCTAAGTTTTCGGCAGCTCGACGGAAAAATAATCCATCCCCAGAAGAAATGTTACGCATGAAAATAACAACTACAACTTGTTTTCCTCGTTATATGAGTTTTTGAGGCCGTAAAATGTTTAAAACGGTTGAAATTTGCTCGAAAAAACGGCTCGAAAATTCACGGCGAGAAAGACAACATGGCCGACCTGTTTTCACAATAACAATGGTCAAAGGTCAAGATAGCATCCAAATGTATAGATACATGTAATAAGTACATATTACAGTGCTAAAACGATACTTTAAACGCATGAAAAATATTTTTTCGGCTACAACTGAAATAAAAATTCAGTTATATTTTAGTAAGGTTAATTTTCAAACATTACTGAGAAATTTTCCGAATTAATTGGTTTCTTGTGTAATATTGTTGTTTCTATGTATGTGCGGTTGGATGCTGTCATTGTAAAGACCCTATTGGGAGAATCAGATGAGATATTAGAGATTATCACGCTTAGTACCGTGACCCGAGTGTCTCTCAAAAATTGTTTTTGAGTGGAGTTTATAAACATGATCACATTTTTATTTGTTCAGCTGTGTCAATATGTGATTTGTTTGAGAAATAGGATTTGGTTTAGTTTTTAATATATTAATGTCAGTTAACATCTTTGGAATAAATTGCTCCAAGTTCCAGATAGTAAATACATGTACATTTTGTATCATGTATTTTTCACTTGTTGAACTTGTGGAAGCACCGTTGGCCCCCGGTTAGGGGTCATCCGGGGAACCTATGCCCATTTTTTTCAAAATTAAGGGTAGAATTTTTTTGAACATGAGGATAATTAAGTACAGATTTTGAACCTTTCTACTGCCTTATACATCTGCAGTTGTACAGAAAATGTAGAACTGAAGTTGCAGGAAATGACCTCCATTTGTGTTTGGAAAAGACAAAATGCAATAGCTTCCCCCCCCCGTCCTGACCTCCCCCCCGCCGCCGCACCCTCCTCCACCCTGCTCTGAAT